CTACTATTTATTTATACTATATAGAAATAGGTATATACTATAAATATTTAAAAACCTACTTTTATAATAAGTTTTATTAGATATTTAAGTATTCCAAGATCTATAATAAATATATAAGGCTAAGCCTATTTCCTAGGCTTAAATTCGCTTTATTACTTCTACTCTAAAGAAGCCTTATTAAGTACTACTTGTGACGGTTATGGTCACGAGGGCTGGATGTCACATGCTCGCTTAGCGAGGCGCTAGCGCGCACGACCTGTATTTAGTTCCCAGCTCTCTCGAGCTCTCCTTCTTTCCTCGTCTTTTGTCCTAAGAATAGAGTGTTAATTGTTCTGAGTTCTACCTGAAGCACGTCTGTCACATTACAAAAGACCCTTAGTTGAGGCTAAGTATCCCAGGTCTAAGTTCACGTTCACGTCCAAGTTCAGGTCCACGATCTTACGTCTCAATTCTCACGATTTCTACCACTTTCTTGTGCGCAAGAACCCTACACTTTACAACACGACGAAACCTCTTCTTTTTTCGACTTCTCTACAATGGATGCCCTTCAAGTTCAGTCCGCCATCGCTGAGTTGCAAGCTGAAGTCCAGCGACAGCGCGACGAGATTCACTTACTCCGGTCAAGAACATCCGCAAAGCCTAAACCTTCCCTCCCAGACCCTGACAAATTCACTGGCCAGGCTCATAAATTCGACACCTGGCTTCCCTCAATCAAAGCAAAGCTACGAGTCGACGGTACAGCTATTGGAGACGCTATTGCGCAGTTCTACTACGTCTACCTCAACCTTGACTCCCACGTCCAAGCCATGGTCCTTCCACAGCTCTCTCAAGCAGAAGACACCCAAAGCTGGGACTACCAAACAATCCTCGAACAGCTCGCGCGCGTGTACGACAATCCAAACAAGGTACAGGAGGCGGAAGACAAGCTATTTGCCCTCAAGCAAGGTGCTGACTCAGTCCCTACATATATCGCCAAGTTTGAGCGTGTCCTTTACGAAGCAAGAGGTCAGGACTGGCCAGATGTCAACAAAATTTCCACCTTTAGGAATGGCCTTAATTCTACTCTTCGCGGACGACTTTCTCAACAACTCAACCTACCTCGCGATTATACTACATTCATACGCGTCGTACAACAATTAGCAGGCCGCTTCTCTTCGTCTACACAACCTACACAGTCCTACTCCTCTGGCAACCACCACAGCGAACCAATGGACATAAATGCTTTTAGCATCAATTCCATCGACCCATCCTCTCCTCCACGCGCTCGCTCTATTTCCCCTGAGCGTAGAGATCAATATAGAGCTGAAGGCAGGTGTGTACGATGTGGCTCCTTGGAACACTGGGTCAACGATTGCATACTCCGTCCTTTCTCACCAGGACCACAAGGAAGGAAATCAGCCATAGATTTGGGGGATCTACCAGCTGGGGAGGCATTCCCAAAGCCAGTACGAAAGCAGATTGCAAGACCAGGCAGAGTAGTAATAGCAGCTATGAACGACAATGCTTACGATAGCGCGGAGGTAGATTCGGACGATCCTGACCATCCAGATGCCTGGCAAAAGGGTATTTTTCACAATTAGTTCAGATTTTCAACGCTCGGGGCGAGCTCTTTTTAAAGGGGGGGGTGATGTGACGGTTATGGTCACGAGGGCTGGATGTCACATGCTCGCTTAGCGAGGCGCTAGCGCGCACGACCTGTATTTAGTTCCCAGCTCTCTCGAGCTCTCCTTCTTTCCTCGTCTTTTGTCCTAAGAATAGAGTGTTAATTGTTCTGAGTTCTACCTGAAGCACGTCTGTCACACTACTAGGATAGTATAATTATTTAAATTTTAAAGTAGTACTAAAGCTTATATTTATAGCTTTCCTACGTACTAGAGAGATTACTTATTCTAAGTTAGAATAGTAGAATAAACTAGTATTTAAGAAGTCTAAGTTAGAAAGATAAGATATAGTATTTAGTTCTTAGAATAAATATACTACTACTTTCTTATAAATAAGTAAAAGTAATATAGGTGTTACGGAGTTGGAGGGACTGGGGTCTGGTCACGTGTAGCACAGCACGTGCGTGCCGCTGGCATCCTGTATTTAAGCTTCCGTTCCTCTGGAACTCTCTTCTCTCCTCACTTAGTTGTTCGCTCAATACAGCAGTTTCCGTTTGACTCCGTATTCATCACAGCAAGCAGTGGTTCACTCCACACGGTTACAATAGGCTACTCTAGTATCGAAATAGTAGTAGAATAGACCCTAGATAATATATACCTTATTATAGTACTTTTATACCTTTTTAACCTTAATCTTTAACTTTTCTATTCTCTACTCTTTTATATAAAACAAGGATATTTTATAAGAGACTTCTACTTTAATACCTTATAAAGGCGCCTTTACTAAATTAGTACGCCTAGTTATATAAGATATACAAGTTATAGCCCCTACTAGAGTACTACTTAAAGAGCCTTAGATTTCGGTATTTTAGATTCTAATATTTAATATCTTAGTAGATAGTCTTCTAAAGTATTTAAGGGTTATTTTACTCTTAGTTTATAAAATTATTATTAATTAAGCTATTATTTTTTTATAAAGATTATAATTAGTTAATCTTCTTTTTCTAGCTTATTATTATTTTATCTTTTTTAGTAGCTAGTTCTTTTTATATTTTAAAGATAGCCTAGGATACTAATACTTCTTTTTACTATACTAAATAGAGCCTCCTGTTTAGTTTATAATATATAAGAAGTCTAAGTATTTAAAGCTAGCTAGTAATATAAGAAATCAACAATAAGCCTCTTTTATAACGTAACGAATAGACGATAAACGAAAGTGTAATCTAAATAACTTTCAGGTATTCTCCTAGTGTATTTGAAAGTCCACAACATCCTTTTCTTCAAACGCCATCTCGCCATTCATTATACTGTCGACATAAATCTCACCTAGAAGGACATAATAACTTCCTACTCTCCTTAGCAAAACAGGATAATTGCAACCCATAAGTAGACAAATGAAATCGCCTCGAGAGGCATCCGCCGGTACCAAACAAGCCATCTTGCTCCGTCTAGAAACAGCAAAGTGCTTATTGTGCATTCTTAGACTCGCTGCCGATACTGTAGAACGCTGAGCGTCGAGACTTTCGAGTGGGGCCTCAGGAATTGATGGTGCAGATGGAAATTCAACCGCTGGAAGTAATCTGACAAAAAGGCAGCAAAACAGTTCAATGCGTCTTTTGTGATGGGTATCATAAGTAGCCGCCCAAGGACCCCCACAGAAGGTATCATCAAATTCTCTAATCGTTGCTTCTTTGCCCTTGCAATCTTTTTACAAGGTCCACCAACTCTCAATCGCTTGCAGCGTTTCAATAATCTTTCTTTCCGCTCCGTGGTCGCTGTCTTTCCAGAACTTGTCCGATACCACCTCGAGAGTATCAACGACAATTCCACGGGCAGTCAAGACTCTGCCATCCTTAGAGAAAGAGGCGATGGCTACAGAATCTATCCCAGCGGCCCGAAAGGGCGGATCGCGAATCTGCAATCCAATTACTCGGTGCTTTGGGTGTTCAATTCTTCTCTCACAATCAGGCACCCAGCTGGGGAGATTATGTATCCTATCCTCATTCTGACAAATGCAAATAACATCGAGCCTTCTCGTGACAATAATGATATGTCGAGTGGTATGAGAATATGTATCCACGATTGAACGATTGTAATCAATAGGTCCAAATGCATCCCGAGAGCTAGAAATTCCGACCAGTGCATAGACCTTGTCGCGAGGATTTGTCGAAAATTTGCCCATATGCGTGTAAAGTAAGCCGAGAAGAGATGGCTGGGTCTCTCTATGTGGTGCTCTAGTCAATTCCAGACTTTTTGGACCACCTGCAGCAAGGCTGAAAACAGTAGTTGGATCGTCGGGATAATGAGCATTAAGATACTTTGTTCTCGCTTCAAGTCTTTCGCAAATCGATTTCAATCGAGTCCATGACATCAAATGGTCACGGCCGCTGTAAATAATGGCAGATTGGCCAACTGTCGCTTCTTGAACAACCCAGATTCTGAACCAATAGGGTCTCCGAAAAAGCCCTTTGAGCGCTTGGAACTGTAGGAATCTTGCCGAATCACTAACAATCTCATTGAAGATATCCTCGGATGAAGTATCGAGGTCTCGAAGAAGTCTTGAAGCCAAAATACCTTCTTCTTCCTGCTCGTCTCCATGACCAAGCCAAACAGAAACAGAACTAGCTTTCCGATATATGAATCTCATTTTCGAAGCTTGGGCGCTCCTCTCCACCAAGTCACTCTGATTTATACAGATTGAGTCAACCCATATAGTGAGAGTTGCATCGACCATCCGAAGTCTTCGTAGTGCTGACTCAAGGTTCCGCGAAATAGAAGCCTGTTTCCCGTTGATTGAAAGCGAGACACAATTTCCCATAGTGCCCCAGGTATATGAAAGTGCATCATATTTTGGATTATCATCAAGAAGCACTTTTTCCAGCTTACAGATCAGGGGGTCCGTTTTGATGCCGGGCAAAATGTGGGCAACTCGAATCTCATTTGCTTCACTGTTAACGGAACTGTATTCGTAGACCTCGCTTGGTGGAGTGCATAGTGATCTATGGTCTAGAATAGCTCCGGTCATTGGTGCTATCGTAGATGTAGAATTATTGGGTTGGAGGCTATTCCCAAATATCTCGTCAACTGATCTCGTCAACTGATGTTGTCCAAAAGAAAATCAGAAAATCAGAAGTTCCACCAATGATAGCGATTACATAGCAGGCTTCACCAGGCGCCAAGACCCGACGTGTTCATCTTACCTCAACTACCGTTGAAGCTTCCTTCAGCCTGTAAAGTATCAACGATACTCGTACTCCGTTGCTAATCATTTCCGTCGCAAGATACAGTACCTACGCCCCGGTGAGCATGAAGCCGATTGGTGGGCTTTTCATGATATCGAACTGGCCATCTTTTCCCAAATACCGCCTCATATTAATATTTGTTGTCAACCTCTTGAAAATGGCTCCTACTATCATACCAATTCGCCACGCAGAAGCTTTACATAGTGAATCTACGAGCCTACCTAAATTCAGAAATTATGGACAGTACTAATCCCGTATAGATGTCACGAATAAGTACTTTCTGACCATCAACCATTCAAGTCTAACCAGAAGCACAAAATTACACAGTAAAAGATCCTCCACTCACGCGGAAAGGTCTAGAGATTGAATGCCACGATCTTTCTCAACACCTCGAAAAGCACGTGCCTCTCATCCAGCAAGTCGAATTAATAGTCACTTCTCCCCTCAAGAGAACCCTTCAAACCACCGAGGCGGCACTAGATTTCCTCATCAAAAGAGGCATTCCAGTAATTCCCCTAGCAGAGCTTCAAGAAACAACAGAAAACCCCATCGATACCGGGAGTCCTCCCACAGAGCTCAAACAAGCATGGCCCCATTACGACTGGTCGAAAATTGATCCAAGAGACTCTTCTGCAAAGGGGAGCAGCCGCCCGAAAATGGCTAGCGAATCGTTCTGAGAAGGTTATTGCTGTGGTTAGTCATGCGAGCTTTTTGCGATTTGGATTAGGCAATTGTAAATTCGCAAATGCAGATTTTCGAATTTTCGAGCTTGAGGAGACGGGCGATAGTGCAATGAAAGGCCCTGCTATGGTTGAATGGGAAAGTACGAAGGTTTTGGGGGGTGGGATGGGAAGGAGTGTGGTGGGATTTCATGAGTGGGAGGTGCATGACTTTAAATATATGCCGGGAAATGAAGGGAAGACAAGAGAGGAGTTGGAGAAGATGGTTCTCGAAGCTCCATTTAGATAAGGCGAATTTCCGAAGCGGTTGAATGGTTTGCAAGCTGCAATTCCAACAAACTCGTTCACGATCTCATTTTGCCAAAGATTCAATATCGCTCTACACAATCGTTGCAGGTCTCTTATCCTAATTGTTCTGCTAATCGAATAGACAACAATGACACTGTCTATCGGCAACAAAACTGGACCGATCAACAATACACTTCGCCCGTACTAAGTATAGAACTCAGGTGCATGTTTAAAAGCGAAAAAGATCTCCTTATCATGACCAAACACCAAATTCCCCTTTGTCCTCTTCGCCAACGCATGAATCATCTGATTCGAATGAATCCAATCATCATGATCTCTCGCCATCCAACCTATTTCCCATTAGCCTTATATAACATCAATTCCCAAAAGTTGAAACCGCTTACCTTGAGGATGACTCGCCTCATAATTCTCCCTAACATGATATTGATCTCCCGTAAAAATCCACATCCCGCTCTCCTGAAGATTAACCAACATGATACAAAGTCCAGGTGTATGACCTTTCGCAAGCTTCATCTTGATCCCCCCGAAGATCTCAAAGTCCTCACCAGTAAAAGTCTTCCAGTTCAAATTGAACTTCAAGTAATGAGCCATGTACACTACGCTATCAGTCCCAGTAGCCACCGAGTAGAACGCGTGTTTGAGTTCCAACTCATGAGTCCAGATAGGGACATCTGTGTCCACAAAGTACTCCAACCCCCCAGCATGATCGAGATGGAGATGTCCCAAGATGACTGCTTTGACGTCTTTGATCGAGTGTCCGGTTTTCGCAATGGCAGCGGGGAGTTCTTTATCGGCTGTGTAATCGACTTGCGCGAAAAGGTCGTTGAACGGTGGACCCCATACGTCGGGCCAATTTCGACCGGAACCGGTTTCGAAGAGGATAAGTCCTTCGGTTGGGTGTTCTATGAGGACTGAGATTTGCACGACTTTGCGGAATGTGCGTGGTGGGTTGGGGTTGGATTTTGACCCCGCGTTTGCCTGAAGGTTTCTTGGGTGTTAGAATGATGTTTCTTGGAGGTCTGGAGTTGGATTGACTTACTCCTGTGGCGAGAAATTCTTCATCAAGTTCCATATCGCCAACGTGGAGTAACTTGGATCTTTTAGTAAACCCATTCGATCATACTTCTGGGAGCTTGGGCAACACTTGCCCACATTTTTGTTCCCTTTTTATATCTTGTTAATACAATACTTCAAGTTGAAACAGATGAAGTCTACGATTTACCTTTGGGCACTTGATCAGCGAGTCCAAGGACGACATTTTGAATTTATGAATAGGCACTTTCAGTCAGAGTACTTGAGTAACTAGGCAGAGAATAAACAAATCGCAGAGAGACCGATAAAGAGAATCAGGATATCCTCATGAGATCCATTCCCTGCCGTCTATCTTATACTCTGCTTGCAGCGCTAAGAACTTACGACTAGTACGTTTCAAGTGGAGACTTCAAGAATTATGCCATCACCAAAGTACTATCTCTGTCCCCTTCGAAACCTTGTGCGCCAATTAGAAGACTACAACACACCTGCAATTAACCTTTTTTAGGGATCGAAGCTCGGGTTGTAAAGCTAGGGCCATTATCTAAGTCACACACCTCATCAACTGAATACCAGTATCCCTTGTGTATGTGCTCAAGTAAGCGAGCTGCATCATGGAGTGCCCCATCAGTTTCCAAAATAAGCTAATCCCCGCATCACGTGAGGCTCTCCGCACCCTGAGTAGCGATTCCTGCATTTTCGAGATTGGATAAGAATCGTCAGCTGGAACGACTTTCCCGATATGGTTGCTAACTATGAAGATGGCTCTGCGTGCAGATTAAACCGCACATTTTGGTCCCGCTATGTACTCGATCAAGGCCTCGAATTACTCCATGAAAAGTCCAATGCAATATCTCAGAAGCTCTACAAAGCAGATACCAAAAACCACTTAAGTATTAAATCCACCCTTTTACGACTTATCGTTGAAGGCTTAACGAAAGGGTGATAGTATCGTGCACGGATGTAAAATGTGCAGTTTAATGTGTACACGTAGGGGATGGTACATATGGCTGAAACACTCCCTCAGATATGATTGGAAGTCAGACGAGGGTGCGATAGGTAACTGAACATCTACCGACGTGCTACATGGCATCTAAATTGGGAATTGGAGTCCGTTTTTCAATGGATCAGATCGGTTCAGGCCGGTTACGATGAAAGCTTGAAGTCAATCTATTTAGTACAGTACATGTTTGGCTACGCAAAGCGTTCCATATAAATTAGACATACAGTTCCCAACATCAAGTAATGGCCCAGAGGCTATTTTACATCAAAAGTCACCCTCCGCGCTTCTATATAAAACAATAACTATACGGATTAAGAGAAAGATTTATACTACACACTTACCTCGAAGAATAAAAATAATAGCTTGTAAGATTACTCTTAGGAATCTTCTTTTAAAGTAGCGTTGTATTTGTATCGGTTACTAAAGAGCGAATAACCTCGAAATCCTAAAATTTATATCTAAACCCGACATTTTTCCGGCTAAAAATTCGTTACCTTACGCGCTCTACTATTATAAGACCTAGCTACTTTAATAATTCGTAAACGTTAGCTTAGAAGGCTCGAGGTATAATATAAACGTAAAGAGGTAGAACTAATAAAATGAACTATTTTACTATTACTTAGACGTAGGATTGTAAGTTAGAAGTAGTGAGTTTTAGCTGTTTTAGTGTTCGGACGGGAAGTGCCAAAGTGGGCCATTATTTAAAGTCTAGTACTGTATGTTGTAGACTTTTGTACATGCTAGGGAACCCTAAAAGCTAATGCTAATCTTTCTAGATGCCGTACTTCTACTCTTTACACCTACTACCTACTCATACCACATACCCCATCCCACTTAACAAGATCAGATCAGATCACACAAGAACAGAACAGAAGTCCTTCAATCCACACTACACTACACACAACACATAACACAACACAGCGCATGTCCTAATAACAACCCAAACCCAAACCCCACAGTCACAACTCACAAGACAATAAAACAAACTTACGTACGTTAAGAGGTACTATATTGTATTATACAGTACGTAAAATTTTTGAGATAACGAGGTAATCACACCGAGATGAAGAGGAAGAGGAAGAGTTCGCTTATTTAGGATTTCGTGAAGTTTGTTTGGTGAATTGTATAGGATTGGTGTGTAGTGAGAAGTGAGAAGTGAGAAGGGTGGAATTTGTGAGATGTGAGGAGGGTGAGGTTTGTTATTTTTTGGATCGATGATTTGGTGGTTGTATGATGATTGGGAAAGAAGGGGGAAGGAAATAATTTAGTCAAGTTTGTGTATTATCATTATATAGACCAAGATATCCACTCATCCACAATATAAATTCACCCTCCCCCCAAATATAAAACCCAAAATCCCAACTCCATACCCCCCAAAGAACGCACCCAATATCCAATCCCTCAAACAATCCAAACAACCAAACCCACAACCCCCGCCAGCATCCCCCCCGTAAAACTCCCCACCACCCC